CAGACTCACACTCACACTCAGACTCACACTCAGACTCACACTCAGACTCACACTCAGACTCACACTCAGACTCACACTCAGACTCAGACTCACACTCAGACTCACACTCAGACTCACACTCAGACTCAGACTCAGACTCAGACTCAGACTCACACTCAGACTCAGACTCAGACTCAGACTCAGACTCAGACTCAGACTCAGACTCACACTACAGTACAATACACCGTGACACACACCTTGAGCTGTGACTGTGATTAATGACATAGCTGTTGTCAGTTGATTAGTCTGGAAGCGAATCCACATGTATTCGGTTGTTGTTAAAACACTCGGTAGCTCTTTAAAGAAATACAAATATAAACATAATTGGCAGCATTATAGAAAGCATGCAGGTGTTAATAATTGTTTCCTGTGAAAATACAGATACAGAATATTAACACCTATAATAACATAGTAGATCAATTGATGTACAGTACAAAACTTATATGTGCATTTTAAATATCATACTGTAAAAAACTTTACTTTCGCTTGGAATTAATTTTTGCTATTTTCGCTGAAGGAATGATTCAATGAAAATAAATTCCAGCTAATATACCCTTTTTCCTATATTTTACATTCAACTTGTCAAAAATCAGTGAAAATAAACACCTAAAAAGTCTTTTCAGCGAAAATTTATTCCAGTTAAAAATAAAGTATTTTACAGTAGTTGGGTTAATTAAATAATTAAACATAGAAATAAAACCGAATAGAAATCAATTTTGATTTTGTGGGTATTTTGGTTCAATATTAATTCAAGGAAAATTTGAAAAAAATTAAAAATATCACCAAGAATTAAAAAAATTGTATGACATGGTTGAAGACAATTTATCAATAACCAAGTAATTTCTAATATTAGTAAAATGTAAATACCTCCTTGCTGTCCAGTAAATTGACCAATCAGAGGGCTTGATTTCATCCCTCCGTCTCGTACAGTAATAAGATATTCGTCAGCAGCAATTGACGTCTCAAATACACTCATTACTGTTTTGTCGTTTTGTGCCTTCACCAACCACCAGCAGTCAAGCACGTTATCAATTTGGCCAATCAGTCCAAGTTTGGCAGATTTGTTCTTGTTTGTCAGTTCAATGTTTGAATCACCACAATCTAGAACAAAAATATTAATTAATATCAATTTCTTTGGTTGGCGTCAACAGACATGAAAGATTAGTGCCAGAATTTTGTGTCAATTCAAGCGGGACGAGGATGATGCTAATCTGGTAGTAATCACTTGTGTCTGCTGAAGACAACCTGAGATAAAATATTGTAGGATTAAATATTAATCAGGTGTATACATGTATTTCCACAGTACAAAATAGTGAAACGAGGGAGTGTTGATGGTGGAACTATTGCTGAAATAACACTGAATAAAAATGTATCATTGTACACATCTTGTATGCTAATTTTGTTGACACCACACTGTTCTATATTTCACATCTCACCTACATTGTGTGACAATTCTGTTCATTCATGATATATTTGCTTAAATTCGCTGACATTTTTTTTAAAAATTACAACCAATTTTTTGGAGGGACTGAAAAATAATTCTGAAAATAAAGACTTGACCTTGCCAAAATGAACCATTGTTAAAAATATCCATATTGTTATTAGACCGGAAAAATATCAACCCTGCATTAACTTTTTCACCACCAGACATTCTCGCCTAAATTTTTCTGATATTCTTCAATATTTCTGGAAATGAACCGTAATTTTTGGAGCCAGCAGGCAAAATTTGAGTCAATTTTCAGTTTTTACAAAAAAAAATTGGGCGTTTTGTTCCAATCTTCTGAAGGAAAACGCAGACTATAAACGGGACTATTTTGTTTATTTGAGATGAATAGAAGGAACTGGTGGTGAAAAGGTGAAAAATTATTTTCAAACACCAATTATAAATGACTTCATGCCCTTTTTTGGTCATCCTTTCTATATAGTCTAGCTCATTTATAATTAAAATGCATTTTCTGTTTCACAATCTTTGTCTTTAATGTTGTTCAATTTTATTCAATAATATTATTTAGTAAAATTGCATTTTCAAAACAGTACTTGAAGCAGACAACAACAACATTTTTACCAGCAAGACTGAAAAGTTACCAGGCGTTCAAGAAGGAAGTAATTGTGCCAACACCCTTGATATTGTATCTCGATAGAAACATTATGATAGTAATAATAATAATAATAATAATAATAATAATGACATTTATTGCATCTTTAGAAATACAATCTTTCTATCAGCAATAAAGTAATATAAAAAAAAATTTAGTGTGTTAATAATAAGATAAAAATAATAGTAAAAAGTACCTAGTAATGAGTTTCTAAAGAAATTTTTATTTCTGATTTCAAAAGATCTGTAAATATACTTCCCTACTTCTTTAATTATATTTATGTTATTTATTGCACATCAGAAATATAAATATTTTTTTTTATTATCTATATATTATTATCATGTATATTACTGCTTTTATCTAGATTTCTTTTCAAATAAATAAATAATCAAACAAACAAACAAACAAACAAACAAACAAACAAACAAACAAATAAATAAATAAATATATATATAAATATATAAATAAATAAATAAATAAATAAATAAATAAATAAATAAATAAATAAATAAATAAATAAATAAATAAATAAATAAATAAATAAATAAATAAAGTTCATTGAATCATCTTTTACAAACTCATGATCAAACATTGACTCTGGTACATACTCACCTGAGATATGGACAAATGCAACTTGTACAGACGAGTTGATATTAGTTATTTTGTAAACAATTGACACCGATTTAGTCTCAGAAATAAAATCCACAAATTTGCTGTCATCTGTAAATCAAAAATGTAAGAATATATTTAATAAAGTACAAATTTAGAAACAGAATACAAGTACCAGGACATACATGCATTGTTATAAGTAACAATTAACTTAACTGAGTCAATCTAACAGTCCATATGTATTTATTGTAAACAAGATGACAATGCTGTCACTGCAGTGTGACTGTAATCTGCAGGTACTAGTGCAACTGTACATAAAGTAAGCAGCCTGTCTGTCGGCTGAGATACCCCCGTTCTTAGCAATGCACATTTCAATTAAAGAACTGAAGATACAATTAGACAAGCAGTCTGTCGGCTGAGATAGCTCCGCTGTTAGCAATGCACATTTCAATTAAATAACAGAAGATAGCATTAGAATCAAAAAAAGCTTAGAAAGAACTCCTGTGTGCTGAGAGTATTGAAGACACATTAAAAATTAATTCAAAATTACTTGTACATGAGATATTGATGGAAAAGCTGACAACTAATTATGTAAATCGGGTAACTAATATGAACAGAACAGAACAACAAAATTATGAATTATTATGCTAATTAGAGGAATAATATGAACAAATTTTAACCCAAAATTAATCAGGCCTGTCTATTGTCCTAGAGCATTTATGTACCAAATTTTATTCAAATGTGATGATCAGTAATTGAGATATCAGTGTTAATTAATTATGTTAATTAGGTGATTAATAACCATAAATATTTACCAAAAACTAATTGGGTCTCTGCATAGTTCTATTTAAAAGTATCATTAAAATCCAATTTGTGGTTCTTCATATATCAGTGGAACATTATGCAAATTAAGTAATTAATATCCATTTAAAACTAATCAGGTCTCTGCATAGTCCTAGAAGATCTATGTAGCAAGTCTCATTGAAATTTGATGATTAATACTTGAAATATCAGGCAAAAGCTGAAAATTAACTAATTATGCTAATA